CTTTCTCAGAGGTGGATTTATTTTCTCCTCTTTTTTCACAAAGTCAAGAATCAGATTCAGATCAAGAATCCCATTTCACTTCCTTTAGCAGCTAAACTTCTCTGTACTTGAGTGGCTCACTATGCTGGGTTTTACTCACTTGGAATGCCGATTCAGATCAAGAATCCCATTTCACTTCCTTTAGCAGCTAAACTTCTCTGTATACTTGAGTGTCACTATGCTGGGTTTTACTCACTTGGAATGTCGAGGATGGGGGACCAGGGGAAAAGTTTCAGAAAGCTCCTAACTTTACACCTATGGCTATAATTGGCCTTAAGCGAATAGCTCAATGAATTATTGAGCAGTGTGCTTAGGGATTTAGTAGGAGAACAAGAGGACAAAGTAATGAGCTGCTACTATACCTGCCACCTCAAAAGAAGACAGAGCCACTCGTGCAACTTTCCTTAAGAGCAGATGAAGATTTGTAATCTTATCTGTGGATTTGTTTTAAACTAACATTTAAACCACTCGGGCTGAAATTTACTAGCACTTGTAAGTACTGTTTAAATTAAGCAATTTCTAAACCCAAACAAATTTAGAGAGCAATTTACAGAATTACAGATGCTGTGCTAATTCTATGCTAACCTCTCCCTAAACTTAAAAGGCAAAAGAAGCAAAAAGAAGTCAGGAGTTAACCAAAAACCATTCCTTACACTAAAACTCACCCAAGCTCTGATGCATTATGGTTTTTCTCATTCACAAGAACACTTAAAATGTTCAGACAATTTGGTACTAAGTAATAGCCATTAAAATATTTAAAGTGTTAAGTAAGCGCATCTGTCCCATTTGTAATTAGGAGTGAAGTGGCAGCTTATGAAGTTAGAAACTACAGCCACAGAAGGTTTAAGAGAGCTTGTTAGGGACAATAAACCCTGGAGGAGTTATCACTGTAGGGGCTCTCTTGTGTCAGAAAAATAGAAATAGCATTAATATGCTCACAAGTCACATAATATTTGAGTATCGGGAAGACACATTTTTATTCCATGCAACTGTAAAGCAAATTCAAAAGATTATAATCCTCTCTAACACATAATATACAGAGCTAAGTATATTTTCATAAAATAAAATATGGGATTACATTTTTTGTTTCAAATACACTGGTACCTATCAGCCCTTTTAAGGAATTGTTGCCAAATCCAGATTAAACCCTTAGCAATTCCCTCCAGGTAATGCAAAATCAAAATGAAGCACTGCTTCCACAGCTACATGCAATACTCACTGTTCAGAGCTGCATCACAAAAAAAGATTTAAGTACATGCTAGTGAACATAACTTTGAAATTTCCTTTACTGGCTTCGTTAGGTGCTTGCCTAAGATTTAAAGAGACAAAAAAGTCTTACTTTTAGTCATGAATTATTAGAGCTATTTGATCCAAACAAACTACACAGTGACATGCAAGCTTCTGATAACCCTCATCTTGCACTCATTTTTATGTTAAGAACCACAATCACCAAATTAACAGACTTCAAAATGCAATAACCTGAATTTTCAGCTTAGCTTTTCTGATTTTCTTCCCTCCCGTTTAGACAGGAAGAAAAACTGTGGAAAGTATCCTATAGAGGAACTCACTCTCATCTTTTGTATTAAAATTCTTCTAACAAGATAATGACAGTTACTCTATGTATTTTGACTGAAGGGCAACTAAGACTACTGTAAAAATCAAGTTACTTCAACTATTCTTCCCCCCAGCACAGCTAATACAAGTAAAGCTTCCAATACAGAAGGGATATTCTTCAAAAGTAATCTGGAAGGAAACCCCACATGTATTCTTTATTCGTACCTAAAAGAAAAAAATAAATACTATACCAGAAAACCAACTCAGTATTGATGTAGAGAGTGTGCTGAACTAAATTAAATAATTATATTCCCCCAGCGTACAGCATGGGTAGAAAGCACAACAGCCTCAGACCGTTTCCAAGTTTGCAACAGCTTGTAGCAACGGGAGACCAGAGTCCTGCCTGTTGCAGGTGAAGTTTCTTCTACTCTCAACAGGTACAGAGCTAGATCTGACCTACGGGCAAAACTGAACAGTTGCTTCTGAACACATTTATGCCTTGAACATTCTATTAATATAATGCCAAAAAAACAATGTCTAAATTGAAGATTTTTCACGGTAGATGGTATTTACAGGATGGTTTCTTCTATAGAAGTACTATTTTTCAGGTATACTGACTACAAACATATTAACATACAGATAAATTCATTAAAAGGCTTCAGTAATTTGACAGTAGATTTAGCATGAATGCTGACATGTTTTAACAAAGTGCCTAACTAACAAGAAGATGAATGTTTCACTAGCAGGGAAGTCAAAGCTCTGAATAATTGCAAAAAAATAAACTTAAGATTGAAGCTTCAAGCATTCTGAGGTTTGGAAATCCATACTCAGAGCTGCCCATATACTCTTAGTATCTAAATCTAGTATTTTTCAGTTAAGCCTTAACTTATACTATTAAGACATTTTTCCTCCATCACAGGAGACCCATCTCATTTTGTAACATAACCAAAGTGTACTCTCTGAATGTTTAAGTACGCAAAACTTCATCTTCAGCTTCAAGCTCTATTTGACTCATATCATCCAAAAGTTATGATGAATAAGTTTCACAGAGAGGTAGAAAAAAATCCCGAAACAGGGAAAATCCAGGTTCAGTGCCAGGTTCCCAAAAACACTGCATTTAAAACGTTGTAGGAAATCAGTCAGCAGGGCTTGGTGCAAAGAAATGTATTTTTCCTTTCCCAGTCTCCTACTGAGAGAGAGGCAGGGTGCAGGGGATCAAAAAAACAAAAACCAACACCCTCCCAACTCGCCTTTGTCGCTATACTGATTGACAACTCCTTTAGTCTACAACTCTTCCTTCTACTCTTCATTTGCATCCAGATTTTTCTCTCTAGTGCTTGGGAACTACTACAGACACATTTCAGTACAAAAGGAAAAGGTGTCATTGTTTTCATTCCTAGCGTCCTAGAAGTGGCATCATCCCCAGCAGGAAGGAATTGCAGGCCAGTGCTAAATGTCATCTGTCCTCAAGGAATCATCTTATCTACTGCATCATCAATGCAAATAAAACCTTCAGCTAATTTTGTCTCTTAACAATCTTCTCTTCAGCTTCCCCTTTAACCCTGCCTGCGCCTGTTCATGTGTGGGGTGGCAGGGGGAGCGGCGTGGGGCATGGTAAGGAGAAGAAGATAGATACCTCGACTGAATTGGACATAAGTAGGTTTTCATGCTGGTATCAAACAGCACCTGCAACAACTGGTGATTTCATAATGTTTAAAAGTCCTTGGTCCAGACTCAAAGGCACCAAAAGTTACCCAATAAGACAAATAAGTATTTACCAGTATAAAATTTAAACAGTTCAGATTTCTGGTAACAAGGTAGTAAATTTAAATCCTTAATCATAATTTAAGTCCAAGGAACATTTACTGTAAATTTCACATGAAGAAAATTAGTAATTTTATCATGTCCTAATAGTCTATACACCTGTGTATAAATAACTGCTAGATCTTTTACTTACTCAAATTCTTAAGACACAGAAATAAAAATGAGGAAATAGTTCAGTTTAATTAAATAGTTTAAGACTAGACCCATTACCTACATGCATTTTACATGCTAATTTTGATAGTTGAACCCTTTCAAAAGTTTTTTCTTTCTCCCCCGCCCCCCAACTGCTAATCCTTATGTGATTAAATTAAAAAAAAACACTTCTACAACATCTAGGGAGAACAGGAGTTTATTGAGTTCTACCTGTCTGAAAAGTGCTGGTGAAGAGTTGTCATTTCATGCTTTGTCTATATAGATAAGTTGAAAGAGAAATTGTTGCAAAACTCAGCTCAGCTGAAAACTGAGTGTTTCTCCAGAACTTCTTACCATTCCTAAGTGAACACAAATGTGAAATTTTTTTTACATGAAGCTAGTCCTTTTCATTTTCAGATGCGACATCTACACTTTAAGTCCCCTCACAACTGTTAAAATACTTCCAGGCAGTATTAACATACAGAGAAGCAATTAGTCATATCTTCAAGAACCCAGGTATCCCAGCTCTAAAAGTGCATAATTTAAAACATTAGTAATGGAATATTTTGAAAGAACATTCTTATTAAGTATTAATGCATGCTATTATTACAAAAGTACCCATTGCATATTGTAGGAACAACAATTTTTCTTTTGTAGACAACAAAAAAGCATGCTGAATGGTATCAGATCAGTATAAATCTATTTTTAATGAGGTTCAAGACACTGTTCAAGTCCCATTAAAAGCAGCTTCCTCCAACTGTGCACCAATCTAAGCTTGCACAGGTGTTAAAGTTTTGCACTAATGTGGCTTAGCCTGGCCTCAAACATTTTCAAAGCAGGGCATTAAGACTGGATCTTGAATTTTAGTAATCATTCATTTAATTTGTTTAAATAAAATATTAAAAACCACTATAAGAATTAGGCATAAAAGCATGTTAAGTAACAAATTTAGGCCTAACTAGCAGAACATACAGGTATTTACACAAATGCTGATTTCCTGTGGTCTTTAATATTGAGAAGACATCAGAATGTGGACCATGTGCTCAAAAACACGAAGACTGAAACAAACAAAAACCCAGGGGAAGAGTAATATAAATCCCATGTCGGCACAACTGCAGAAGTTATAACCCAATATAATGGGTCAGCTCGGTTTAATGTGAGGAGCAGTCACGAATAAACCAGTCTATTTGTAGTCATTTTAGCAACTGGCTTAATGAAAACATTTAAGTTAAACTGCAAGTAACCCACTCCAAGTCAATAGGATATTTCTATAAAGTAGTTGATGACACCAATTTTCTAAATGGATAATGAGGAAATACACAGAAAATCCAAGATGAAAGAGCAGACGAAGACGTGAAGCATGTTAAAATGATGCAACGGAACAGGGCATAGAAATTAAACAGGAATGTTTAATCAAGACAATCCTTTTTTCTTTTTTTTTTTTTTTTTTTTTAAACAGAGGTTCTTCAGGAGATTTTTTACTTGGAAAATGAAAGCCTATTCCCACAATAGTGAGGCCATTTCTTTCAAGCAGCTCTGTTGTACAACTGTTACCAGGACCCTAAACAATTTAAATTGTTGTATATTGATATTTCTGAACTAAAGAGTTTTAAAATATTGTATAGATTTTATTTGTGCTCCACATATCGCAAGCAATTAACAACACGAAGAAAGATTCAATTCCTCAGCTAGAATACCAAACTCTATACCAAGTATTACATGTACACGATACTTGCACAGTGACAAGCACAACAAAGCACTAGTTGAGCACTTACTTTCAGAAATCCATACCAACTCTTGAAATCCATTTCAATTCTCCCACGCCACCCAGTCGACAATTTAAGGCATCTCCACACAGCCATCCATCCACCCACCCACTCCCATACACACAATTTACATTGGAGGTGTTTACTCTTACAAAAAAATCACTATGTCAATCAGGTACCATTTATTATTTATCCCTATAACTGTGTCAGCATTGAGATATGACAGTTAAACCAGTGTTAAATCAATACAATATTTACATAGCACAGCACATTAAGCTTGAGACACTCACTTGGGGGATAAAACCACATTTTAGAACAGGACAAAGGTCACCATTATTATGGGTTTGAAAACAGCTATTTACAGGTCCCTATGACATAACTATAGTCTGTACACTGTTCCAATGGGGCAGGCAGAAGCAGGATAGGCATTTATTTTGAGGGATTTTAAACATACAATTTGGAAGCATATTATTATGCTACCCTGAACGCCATAAACCACCCTAACATTCTCCAAGGTGGTCTCAAATCCTAGAATGGCATGTCCAGCTGATACAAAACAGACAACACAATGTTTACTTTGTGGAGAGTTTTTTACTCCTGCTATTCAGTCATCTGAACTTTGAAGGCAATTCGTCCCAGAAACTTGTCACGGTCATCTTCATTTTTTAAATTAGGTGAGCCCAGGATCTTACACTCAATTGCTATTTCTTCTTTGGTACTGTTGGAGTTAATTGCTAGTTGAACAGCCACTAGAGGCTGTAAATAGTGAGCCTAGTAAACAGAAAGATGGGGAAAATATTTGAGATACCAAAGTAAGTTAGCATTTAAATTAACATTTAATCCATCAGAACAGTTAAGAAAAAAGCTAATTAAGAACCCAACTTTTCAAAGCCCAATCTGACTCAGGTAAGACTTTTTTTTTCCAAGTCAGGTCTACATTCTTCATCCTGTTTCTTAACTAATACATTCAACATAATTTGTCACAGGCAGTATCTTCAAGAGGCATATGACTTTACTGCTTTCTATTATATTGGGTCCAATTTTTCTAGAAACTTCTACTTGAAACAGCCTCTGAAATGATAGTGTTCCTTCCTATCCATTCCATTGTCTCTTCTGTTTGTTTTGGTTTGTTGTTTTGGGTTTTGTTTTTGGTTTTTTTGTTGTTTTTTTTTTTTTTTTAAATCTGCTATAGAACATAACTTTTCTAGCATGGTTCTGAGTGTTTTTTGCCAAAAGCATGATTCAACAAATACTAGTAAACTAGCTTCCTTTCCACCCTATCCCATTTACTTGTTCAGCAACAATCCATTTTAAAATGTGTTATCTGTTTGATAGCTTTACACAGAAACCTTTCCTTGAACATTCTGACAGTACCCTGGGTCAATCATATTTGGTGGACAATTACAATTCTTGACTCCATTTCCTATAATAAAAACTAAAATTTAAGAATGAATGCAGAATTAGGTGGGTTTTTTTTGTCAACCCACTGTTATTTCTCAAGTCCAATTCAGTTAGGACAACTTGAATTCTCTTGTAAAGTGCCTATGAATTAAATAAGAGCTTGCTTATTATACACTGTTAAAGCAGCACTTCATCCAATATTCATAAAGTATCTCCATAATTTATTTATATTTTTAGGTCAACACTGCTGATTAAGCAAAATTATTTATTTTCTTGGTAAAAATTCATATGAGCCAGTGGACTAAATATGACACTACAGTATTATACAAGTATAAGCCTTAAATTTTAAGTGAACAAAATTTTGTGTTAGATTTTTTTATTTCCTTATTAACTTAAGGGACCTCTTAATACATTTCTGTTATTTTTAGGCTATCTTCTCTACCAAAGAAAGCACTACAGAATACTCAAAGTCTCTTTTACAAAGAATGATGGCATGGAACCCGATGTGCTAAAAATCTTTAATTGAAACAGATTGAAATAACTGCTTTCCTTGGATAGTGATTTTACTAGATGAGAAATGTTCCTGTGCTGCTATAAACTTCAAACTGAGAAGGGGACATGCAGCTAGGCAAGGCACCCTCAAAATTCTCCTGTTGCAAGGGTAATACCACACTTGAGGTACTAACTGGGTTTTCTAAAAATCAGAAATAAAATTCCTTTGTTTCCTCAGAGAAGTCTTCTCATCACCAAACTTTTTCAAATAGGTACACAAATTTCTACAATGTTTTGAAGACAGATGATATCAGAATGGACTTTTACTCAACATAAAATTTGGGGGGAGGAGGGAAGAGAATCAGCATCCTCATTAAGCACTACAGATCATCTAAAAAAGATAACATTCTCTAAGGTTAGGGAGTTGGGCTCATTGTGCTGAGCAGCAAGAGGCAAATAACCATTCTGGACCACAAAACTGTAGCTATTAGTACTTTTATGGCTCCTGCCTTAGCACAAGAGCAGCAAGATTAGTTGAATCCTCTTAACTTCTTTACAGAATAAAGTAATTCAACAATTCCACACTGATATAATATAAAAACTCTGTTGTATAGCCAAGAAATCAATCCAGTCCCTTGAGACCTAGTGAAACACCTCAACCTCTCACAACTCTTCTTACTGCCTCTTCTTTTTCACAATATACTATGAGAATTGAGCCTCACATAAGCAAGAATCCCTCACACCATAGCCCCTATCCCACATGCCGAAGTGAACATTAAAGGACATTAAACGAAAAAAAAAAAAATTAAAAGTAAAGCTTTTTCTTAATCACCTAAGTCAAGCAAGGAATAACATTGACTTTTGCCTGACTTCATTACTCTCCTTTCATAATCTTTCCTTTTCCATTAGGTTAGCAGCGAGACAGGAATTTTGTTAGGAAAGTTCTTCATCCCGCCTTTGGTACTACCTCCTGTGATCTCAAGGTCTACTGATGCTGTATTTTGCGTTTCTTAGGGAAGCAGT